AAAAGGAGAATCAATTAAGTAGGGAAGTTCCAAGTTTTGCTGGAAGATTAGAAGCTGCAGTTGAGTTGGTACGCAAATGTGGTAAACGTGTCTCGATGCTTTCACAGCCCGCTTAAGTTCCTTTTGCCTCTTTTTCAAGTGCTCGAAGATTTGCAGTTGGATCGCGCTTACCTGCTGTAGACATTCTATGATATGGACTTCTTATGCTTAGTTTTCTGCCGTTGTCGACTTGCTTAGATTGGTTGGTTTATTCTTTTCCTTTAGGCTTCTGCATGATTGGCTTGCTGTGTTTTTCATTGCTGATGAACTTCTGGATTTGCTGCCAAAGAAAGAAAACAACACCATCCTTAATTTCCAACAAGTAATAATGAAACTTAAAAGGATGAAAATATATAACAGGGTTATATTGATCTTCATAAATATCTGTTTCATTCGGTCAAAGAAAACTTTTACCCAATTGTAGTGACATCGTTAATTGTTGTTGGTGCTACGTTCAGGGTAGGCAGCTTTCTCTTCTTGTAGTTAAGCCCTCTAGCTCTGGCCTGTAAATCCCTGACCTCCCTCAAGTAAATCCTCACAGTTCTAGCTCTAAACGGGTTCACTTCTCGCCTCCCTCCGTGCTCCTCAAATGCTTGGGAAAGCCGGCCAATGAGTGCATCAAGGGAGCCCCAAGCTTGTCGGAGAGGACACGTGCAAGGAGCAGGTGGCTCGGGGATGCCAAAGAAAGGGCAAGTCTGGATGTGGACTGGGGTTTTGCCAAATTGATCAAGGTACTGAAGAAACTCAAGGACGTGTGCAGCGCTGCACTTCGAAAGGGAGAGTGGGGGCCTATGGTTTCTTAGGTATTGGCTAAAGGTGTTCCAATCTCTACGCTTTTGGCTCTCATAGCGGCTTGGAATGAAAGATGGAGGTGGAGTACTAGTGCTCGAGGAGGGCGTTGTAGTGCTGATTATGTTTTTATCGGTTGCTGCAGTGACTATGGTGTTTGAACAGTTACTGAGGTTCTTTTCTGATGCAAAATCATTTTGCGTGGAATCTTGAAAACTCCCTTCTTGTTGTCTCTGAAATTCAAATAAACCCAATGGATGTTAATGCCCTGGTAGGATTTGACTCTAATTAACAAGATCAAAATACATACACATGAAATATTCAACCTGTATGTGACAATGACTCCCAAAAAATTGCAATGAGACAAACAAAAACGAATATCTCTATTGCTAAAGTTGAGTATTTGAAAAAGCAAAGAGTTTAGGAGAAAGCTACTTAATGTTGTGTTGCTCTGCATAATCTTAAATACTTACATTGAAAGGTGGCGGGGCGGTTAAGTAAGGAGGAGACATGGACGGGGGCATACTCCGTGACGGTGATGAAATTGGCTTTGTCACATTATCTGTCATCGTTTTCTCCTTCATACAATCTGACAATAACAGCCAACAGCTGCCTAAAAACAATTGAGACAGCAAATAAGAAGAAACTCATTAAGAGTCATAAGGAAACATTACCTAGCCATGGGCCATCATGTTGTCTTACTACGTCAAGCAACTTTCCATCATCTGCCAATTTTCAAAGGCGCAAGGTTAAATACCTTCACTTCTTGTCTATAATGATAAAAGTAATGGAGGGGAGCCAAATATTGAGGAGTGAAATGAAAGAGAAGAGTAAGACACAAATTTTGGTAATATTTTTCTACTATTTCGTTTTTCTTCCCTTAAATTTGAAACCACAATGGGATAGTTTAGGGCATTATATATAATGGGGGTATATGCTCAAAAGATAAGGTAATGTGCAACTTAGACTTAAATCTTTAATAGAGGACATAAGGCAATCAACCATATCAGTTGACAGAAGAATAGCAAGCCAGAGGAGAAGATCAAGTCAATAAATCTTCTACAATCATAAAATGATTTTCTGATGTAACATATGAATCTAAGTTATAATGTTTGAACAAATATGTGAGTGAGATAAGGTAATATCACACATACTTTGTCTTGTATATGTACATCAATGATTAATGAAATTAAATAGGCTCAATGTCTAGACTCTACAGATTTAAGGAATAGTCATGGTTGAAAATTGAAATGATTATAAGATAGCTAAACAAATTACCTTTGTACTGTTGGCCTTCATTTTTAATCGTGGCTTCAGAAAGATCTTTGTCTCCTGCCAATTCTGTCATCACATCTTCCTCATTATTGACAGGAGAAAAACTATGCATTAGATAATCTGGCCGAGTTCCCCAGTCTGTTTCATTCCACTTTATATCTTCCCACCACTGACTTTCTCCTTTGATCATTTTAAGTTGTTTGCTTGACAATTCTCTTTTCGATAGGCATTTAAGCTTTGGGCAATTATAAAAGCCTATTCTTTCCAATTTTGGCACGATGAATAGACCATTGAAAATGCTGACCAGTTCAGGGAGGTAAAGAAGAAACAACCTTTTCAAACTTGGGAGCAAAGTATCAGAAACTGGCTTGACAGACTCATGGCTTACTAGGCTGGTGACCTTGGGACAGTCCTCGAGAATAAACTCCTCCAAGTTGACAAAACTTTGAAGCAAAGTATGTGAGAAAATATTTCTCAGCTTGGGGCATGTATGCAATGCTAGGAACTTTAACTTAGACATACAACCATAATGCATTGGTCCTTTCCAAATACTCCGTAAATTCTTCATGTAATAAAGGCTCAAATATTGCAGTGATTCAAGCACGTTTTCTGCAGAACCAGGGTCAAGTTCGGATCCATCAACAATGGTTTCCATCCCATTACACTCTGCCAACAAGCAAAACTTTAGCATCTTCATATTCTTAATTCCGAATTCAGACAGATTCATAGCATTTGCATGCCGGTCCAAGAAAAAAGAAGTAGAAATCTTGAGTACTTGTCTTATTTGAATTGGGATGTTTTCACCATTCACAAACTTCAAGCATCTGTCCCATTTTCTGAATTCTGCTTCAGCTTCATGAGGTACGCGAGAGATGATTCTCCTTTTATCATAGCCAAGAATAAATCTAAATCGTGTTAATGAAGGATATATCAGTGAAATATAATCTAAAAGTTGAACTTTTGGCAGGTACAAGCTAAGACTCCTCAACCCTTTCGAGTTGCATACTCCCTTTACAACAGCTTCCACAGAATCATCCCAGCAATTGTCTGATGGATCGACATCGATGCTTAATTCACTCAATTGGGAGAGATTTGAAATTGTCTCAGGGTGAAGTACTATGTTTGATTGCAATTTCCTTTTGCTAAAGTTTGTATGCCCATAAAAAGATACCTTCAAGAGTCTTAGCTTGACTAGTTTTCCAATGTCAACAGGCAGATTGATGATCTGAGTTTCATCAAGATCAAGCTCCTCAAGATTGTCGAGTTTCCCAACCTGAGGTGATAGTTCCATGAAGAGTTTACATCCTCTTAAGAAGAGCTTTTTCAGTGCAACCAATTTAGGAAGAGATCTTGGCAAAGATTTGATGCTAGTATCGGACAAATCCAGCAGTTGGAGGAGGGCCATGCGTTGGAAGAACAAGGGGGGAAGAGCTCCCAAATCATAGTTCCTTTGCAAATACAAGACAATCAACGAAGGGCAATTTGGAGACTCTGGTAGCTCAGACAACTTATTATCCATCAAATCAATCTCTTTGCCCACCCATTCTTCTTCCTTTGGTGCCTTACTTAATCCTGATCCACCAGCCTCATGAACAAATTCATGCATTTTCGTTCAAGTTTTCCACTTGATCAAGAATTTCCCCAGCTAATCTGAACGAATCTTTCCTTCCAAAACTTTCTGCCACTAAAGCATTGATGAGAATATGAAGAATATGATCTCCTTCATGGTGCCTATTGACCATAAAATCCTTTTAATTCAATCCCCATAAAATCAATAAAGACTTCCAAGTGCATTTCTATATATTATATAGTATGAAATTTGTTAACAGCTTCGTTATAAATCACAAATTCTAAAATAAAAATAACAAAAAATAAAATAAAGAAAGACTTCAAACAAGATATAAGTCAAAGCTATTGTCATGATGCTTGACAATTAGAAAATATAAATTGTTATTTGTATTGATAAAGATATATAAAACTTACTTACTAAAATAATTTTTTATAAATAATTAAAAAACACTAACTGAAAATAGCTTAATGTTTTATAATTATCAAGATGAAGACCAAGACACATATAAATTGCAAAGTAGATGTCCAAAGTCTTAGAATATAAATAATAATAATGAAAGGTAAAGTTGGTCCATGGGTGCTTGGAAATGTAATAGAAGCCCAAGACCTTCCAGTGGACCCTGTAATCATACCTTGTGGAACTAGGAGTAGATCATGAGCGAAGCAAACTTCCACACACACAGATCAAGGCTAGAGCATGGACACGAAGTGAGAGAAGTTGTACTCTCAATTTACCTCAAAGTTTTGCATATGGAAATGGAAGCTCTGCATACCTCAAAGAAACACATAAAAAGTAATGAAAATGAACTCCACTATTCTGCTTTTATTTAAAAAATATAGAAGTAGAAAGACAAGAAATTTTTAAGTCTTTAGTCCTAGAATATGACCTTTGCTTGTTGAGAGCATTTCAGACTTAAAGAGATTTTCTTTGTCAAAAGCAGGGGCGGAGCCTTTGGATATGCCTTTAAAATTTTTAAAATTTTTTATATATTATGTATTTTTAGAGATTCTTTTAAAATGATTTTTTATTGAATAATTAATATAAATAAAATAAGATCTTCTAAAAATTTTATTTATTTATTTATTATATATATTCCTCTAATCGTTTGATGAAATAGGAGTAAGTTAGGGTATTGTTAGTTATCATATAAATTCTAACTCAATATACTAAGCTTATAAAATTTTTAAAAAATAAAAGTTAGTCTACTAACTTAAATTCACTAAATTTTAATATAAATCTATGACTATTATAACATATTATACCTTCCCAGTCCAGTTCAAGAGTCTATTATAACATATTATGTTTCAACAATTAAATTCAATAACCCAATATGTTAATTAGCAATTTAAGAAGTAAATATAAAATAAGAAGACAACTTTCTCAAAAAACTACACATTTCATGTAGAACATACAAAGTAAAAAAGCAATTCATTTGAGTTTATGTATAAAGAATGAAAGAGATTTTTTTATCGTTTCGTAGGATGTGTGTGTTTATATATATATATATATATATATATATATATATATATTTTATATGTTTAATATTTTATAAATTTTATTTAATCTTTTAAATGATTGAGAATTAAATAATATATAAAGTTCTCTTTAATAAAAGTCTTTTTCTATTTGGCTTCTTTTTTAAAAATGCTCTAGCTCCGTCTCTGATCATAAGTCATAACTTATTAAATGTTGTTCATTATACATTTGATGCTGTCACGTGGGATTCCTTTTTATATATAGTATAATTTTTATAAATTAATATTGATATATTAATAATTTTGATTAAATATTATTTTTAGTTGATTTAGACTTAAGATTAATGTGGTAAATTAATAATTTATTAAATTTATAAGATAATACATTTAAAAAAAAACACATAAGTCCCACTTGATATATAAATTAATAATCCCTTTATACATCAAAATTATATATGTATATATAACTAAATTAAGAGACTTTTGTAAAATATAATTCTAATACTACTTGTTTTTTCTTGAAATTAATATCTCATTAGTTCTTATCTCTAACTTTTCTTACTTTTTATCTCTAACTTTCAAAAACACATAAAAAGTAATAAAAATGAACCCCACTACTCTCCTTTCACTTTAAAAAATATAAAAGGAGAAAGACCACAAGTCCACTCCTAGTTGCAAGGCTATTTCCATGTAAAAGCAACCTTACCTAACATATTTCCAATTCAACTTATGATTAGATTTATAAAGAGCTTTTATTTTTCAAGAAAGTTTAAACTTTATAAAAGCATAATATTTTAAAAAATCCTTGAACTATACAAGTAAATTCAAAAAAATGTCATGATTCTTGTATTGTGTTTAATTAACCATTTATATATTTTTTGAACTAAATAGACCTTATAATTAATAATTGACTAACTATTATTAGTAACATTCATAAAAAAAACATACAAAAGTAATGAAAATGGACCCACTACTTTCCTTTCACTTTAAAAAATATAAAAAGGAGAAAGACTAGAAGTCCACTCTTAGTTGCAAGG